ATTGTCCTGCCTCAGCCTCCCGAGTAGCTGGGATTACAGGCACCCACTACCATGCCTGGCTAATTTTTGTATTTTTAGTAGAGATGGGGTTTTGCCATATTGGGCATGTTGGTTTTGACTCTTGGCCTCAGGTAATCCACCTGCCTTGGCCTCCCAAAGTGCTGGAATTACAGACATGAGTCACCATATCCAGCCCACTTCTGCATTTCTGATGACCAGATGGCCCCACCTGAAGGAGCAGCTCCTCTGTGAACCCCAACCAAAGTTGGACTCAGTTCGGGAGGACCATTTTCTGCACTTCGATGATTGTATTCCCAACCAGTCAGCATTTCTCATGCCCCCAAACCCTCTGCCCACAAAACTATACTTGAAAAACCCTAGCCTCTGAATTTTCAGGAAAGCTGATTTGAGCCTGCTCTGTGTGCATAGGACTCTTTGTCTACTGCAGTCCCCGTGCCTTGATTGGCTCTATGTGGGCAGTTGGCTCAATGTGGGCAGAGGGCAAGATAAACCCACTGGGCAGTTACAGCGGAATATAATACAGATGAGACCTGCTCATGGCGTCTCCAGGCTCACTCTGGAAGTCTTTGGATTTCCTGAGAATAAAAATAAGCCATTTCAGAGGACCCCAAAAGTTCAAATTCTTCAAATATAAATGTGTCTTTATAATACCATCAGCCTTATCATTTATTTGTCATATATAGATTGTTTTCTATATCCTTATTATTTCCACTTTTATCATTGGAAATGCTTTTAAATAAAACACCTCTCAGTGGAAAAAAAAACAAGATTACAAGGGAGAGTACTCTTTATTCAGCTAAAATAGTACTTTACAAGAAATATAGGAAAAGCAATACTAGCTCGGTTGTATTCTAAATAAATATACTTCTAATTACACTCTTGAATTTATTGGATAAGAAGGTCTGAGGTGGGTCTGAAATTGATACATGAAGTCAGGAAAAGAAAAGAAACTTAGTACCTTGGTTACATATGTTGTTACAAATTATCATTATGAAATATTTAAACAATTGCTCTAGTATATCTTTTGAATAATTACTTATAATATGCCTTACCATAAATAAAATTGATGCTACATTGTGAGAATTATTTTTGTTTCTTTTTATATTAAAATTATGCTTTCTCAATTTTTCTGCTGCTTTTCCATGGATTCAAATTAACAATGAAATAAATCTACTAAGCTTTTACTATAAATTTGAGTACAAGATTAACATAAAAGAACCAACATATTAATAGTTGGTGAAAAGACAGATCAATGGGAGGAAGGAAGAATCCATAAGTACGTCCATGTGGATAATTGATTGAGTTTTGAAAAATATGTCAGGACTATCCAATGGGGGAAGGAAAGTCTTCCCAATGGTACCAGAAATACTGGAAATGTTGACATGGGGTGGGGGAAAATAAACATTGATCCTTACTTCATACCATATACAATACAATAACTAACTTGAAATGGGCAATACACTTAGATGTAAAGCTAAAACTACAAAATTTCTAGGAGAAAACCTAGCAGATTATCTTTGCAATATTAAGGCAGGCAAGATTCCAAAATAGCACACAAAGAACATGAGCCATAAAAGAAAATTTATAAATTGAATTTTATTAACATTCATCTCTTTTGCTTTTTGAAAGACACCACTAAAGAAACAAAAAGTAAGCCATGGAATTAGAGAAAGTACTACTCACAATATATATAGGGTTTGAATCCTGAATACATAAAGACTCTTAAAATGTAAATATAATAATACAATAAAAATGGGCAAAAATGATTGAACCATTGCTTTACAAAACAAGATATACAAATGACAAATACACACCTGAAAAGATGCTTAATACATTAGCTGCCAGGGAAATACAAATTAAAACCCTAAGAGATACGACATTAGTGGTATCTAACACTCTAATCCATTAGCGCAAACAAAATTAAGACGACTGGCCGTTACTGAGGATGTGGAAAACTAGACTTATATTTTAGTACAAGTGGGAATGCAAATGTAGTGCAACCACTTAGAAAACAAGCTGTTTCTTAATAAATTAAATATGAACTTGCCATTTGATCTAGTCACTCAATTCCTCATTATTTTGCCCAAGGGAAACAACGATTTTGTCCACAGAAAGAATCGTATGTGAATTTTCATAGCTCTTTATTTATAAGAGCCCCAAACTAAAAACAATTGTCCATTAACAGATAAATAGACAAACAAAATGTGATACACCCATATATTAGAATATAACTCAACAATATAGAAGGACCAAATCACAAATTTATCAGTGGATAAATCTCAAATCCTTATGCTAAGTGAAAGAAGCCAGAAGGAAAAAGAGGACATGCTATATGATAGCATAATGATAGAGAGAAAATTGGTAGAGTTGACCTTGAACAACATGGCATTGAACTGCAAGGGTCCATTTATATGCAAATGTTCTTCCGTCTCTGCCACCCCTGAGACAGCAAGACCAACTCTCCTCTTCCTCAGTCTATTCAGTATGAAGACAAAGATGAAGACCCTTATGATGATCCACTTCCACATAATGAGTAGTAAGTATATATTCTCTTCCTTAGGATTGTCTTAATAACATTTTCTTTTCTCTAGCTTATTTGATTGTAAGAATGCAGTATATAATGCATACACCACATATGTGTTAATTGATTACTTATCAGTAAGGCTTCTGATCAATAGTAGGCTATTAGTAGTTAAGTTGTAGGGGAATCAAAAGTTACGTGCCAATTTTTGACTTCCTAATTTGGGGATGATCAGCGCTCACAACCCCTACATTGTTCAAGGGTCCCAGGGACAGGAGTAGAGGGAGGAAGAGACTACAAAAGGGCACAAGGAAACATTGGAGGCCATAGCAATGTTCAGTGTCTTCAAAATGGTGTTTTTTATGGGAACATTCCATGACAATGGTCATTACATTATACAGTTTAAATATATGCAATGTATTGTATAGAATGTTTGCTTCAATAAAGTAGTAAAAGACACTGTTATTCTATAGTCCACCCAATCAGATTCTCTGGCAGGATTCACTCATTTTTCTTTCAAAAAATATTTATTGATCACTTCCTGTTTTCCAGGCATTGTTCTAGATGCCAGGGCTACAGTAGTGGGCATTTGGTGGGTTGGGTAGGCAGGGAGGGGCAGAGAATAAACAAAAGTCTTTACCTTTATGGGAATTCATTCTAGTGAGGAGGGACAGATAATCAAGTCAGAGGTGTCTGAAGAATTGAAGAAAAATAAAGCTAAGCCCACAAATAGGGAGTTTTAGGGATGACAATGTGGTTGCAATTTTAAATTGGGTGATAATTTAACAAATGTTAACTATAGACTGGCAATTTAAATAGGAGAGTGATACCCTCCTATCATCTAAATCCTTACATATGCAATATATTTTGTCATATTTCCTTTGTATAAATCATTCCTTTTATTTTGATTAGTAAGTTATCCTTCCAGGCTTTTGAATGCTAAGCAGTGATTAGCCAAGAAGTTTTTGGCATCTGTATCTCAATCCCGTTCTGAGTCTAGTTTCCCTAATACACTGAGAAACCACATGTTCTCCGCAAAAAGCATTGAAAAGAAAAACTGCACCTAGATGGTTCAGTAAAGTGGTCTTGCTTTGACGTCCCCTCTTGGCTAGAGGAAATGTCCTTGGAAGTAAGGGGAGGAGAAAG